TCTACACTTTGTTCTAATCTACACAGTTGCATGCCTTTGCATAGTCAACAAAACACAGGTAAACATCTTTCTAGTATTTCTGCGTTCAGCCAAGATCTATCTGACATCACTAATGATATTCTATATTCCACATCCTCTTCTGAATTTGGCTTGAATTTCTGGTAGTTCCGTGTTGATGTACTGCTACAACCATTTTTGAATTATTTTCAGCAAAATTTTACTTGCATGTGATATTAATGATATTGTTTGATAATTTCCACATTTTGTTAGATCACTTTTCTTTGGAATGGGTGCACATATGGATCTCTTCCTATCGCCCGGCCAGGTATTTATCTTCCAAATTTCTTGGCACAGACGAGTGACTGCTTCTAGCCTTGCACGTATTTGTTGAAATACCTCAGGGAGTATTCCATGATTCCTGAAGCCTTGTTTTTTACCAGTTCCTTCAGTGCAGCTTGGACTTCTTCATTCCATACCATCAATTCTTGATCCCATGACACCTCCTAAAATGTTTGAACATTGACCAATTCTTTTTGGTTCAGTGACTCCACACATTCTTCGCATCTTCTTTTGATGCTTCCTGCATCAATCAGTATTTTACACACAGAATCCCTCAGTATTGCAACTTGAGACTTGAGTTTCTTCTTTAGCTCTTTCACCCTGAGAACTGCTGAGCATGTTCTTCGCTTCTGGTTTTCTAACTCCAAGTCTTTGCACATTCTGTCATAGTATTTCACTTTGTCTTCTTAAGCTGCCCTTTGAAATTTTCTGCTCAGCTCTTTCACTTTAGCTCTTCCATTTGCTTTAGCTATTCTTGCTTCAAGAGCAAGTTTCTAAAGATTCTTGTAAGAACTAATTTCTTGCTAGCTGGTTAACAAAATCGTAATTTGGCTAGATTATAATAACACTGAGGTGATAAAGAATTTAAAAGCAGGCAGGGGTTTCTTCATTTTTAATCCAAAGATTAAAGCAGGCCAAATAAGAGTCTACTACAAACCACATGAGAATTTTAAGATGCATCCAAGTGAGCAGTGCATGTCATAAATCACCTCTGAGAATCCCAGTGAAGCAGCTATGTTTCCAAGGAGTACTTAAACACTAGTGTCTCCACTGAAAGACATGTCTTTTCTCTCCTAACCAAGGACACATCTGTGCACTCATTGAGATATAGCTGTGGTTTGGATTTTGACTGTGGGACAGACAAGGGAGCCCTGGTGGTACAGTGGTTATGGAATTCAGCTACTAACCCAAAGGTTGGCAGTTAAAACCGACCAGCCGCTCTGCAGGAAAAAGATGAGGATTTCCATGAAGATTAGCAGCCCTGAAAACCTTATTCTACTGTGTCCTCTAGGGATACTATGAGTAGGAATGGACTCCACAGCAGTGGATTCTGGTGGGACAGATATGTCCATAAAGAAAAATAACCCACAAGGGCGATTTCATCAACACTGCCTAAAAGTGTGTGAAAATGCAGACCACTACTTGCGCCTTCCGCACAAGGCACCCAACGAAGGACTGCTTGGTGACCGTCAGCAACGCCCCCACCCCGCTTCCTCACCTAAGTCAGTGATGAGAATGGGCTCCTGCATGGGAATGTCGGGCACCAGAGTGCCGGCCTTGCCCACTCGGACCTTGGCAGGTTTGCGTGGGTGCCTCATCTTCCTGAGCTCAGTGTGCTTGAAGTGAGAGGCGATGTGTGTCTTCCTGTGGCCTGAAGTACGGAACTTTTTGTCACAGTGAGGACAAGCGAAAGGTCTAACACCTGTGAAAAATAAAAAGCACATTTCAGAGTTATCACAAGGAATCTCCATTCGAGCATTAATGTCCACATAAACTCGAACATTTTCATATGGATCTGAAATCATGTGATTTCCTCTGAAATCATTTTCATATGATTCCACTCATCACCCCATGCTTCCAATCTCATGGATACTGGTGACTAGAGTTCCTTTCCCTCATTTACTTACAGTGCACATGAGTGATGACATGGGCAGCAATGAAAGCATGTGATGTGAAAAAGAGCATTTACGAGTTCCAGGCCAACGGTTTAAATTTTTAATTGTAGACGTTCAAACAACTGGTCAGCTTCAGAATTCCAAGGCAGGGAACACTGCTCTCTGTCTGAAGTGTTCTGTCAACCAGCTGCCTTCTCAGCTCATGCTAGAACCACAGTAGCTGATGTTTAAATAGCGAGCCCTGATGGTGCCACGGTTAAGCACTTGGTTGCTAACCAAAAGGTCAGTAGTTCAAACCCAGCTGGTACCACCACTAGAGAAAAGATCTAGCTATCTGCTCCCATAAAGATTACAACCTAGGAAACCCGACAGGGTGGTTCTCCTCCATCTCTATGGGGTCACTATAAGTCACAATCAACTTGATGGCAGAGGGTTTGGTTTGGGCTTTGCTTCCATGAAGATTGTGGTTGTTATGTGCCATGGAGTCGTCTGCGACTCATAGCGACCCCTCCTTGGTTTTCCAAGGTGGTATCACTACGTAAGTAGATTGCCCCATCTTCCTTCCAAGGAGTAGCTGGTGGGTTTGAACCGCCAGCCTTCTGGTTAGCAGTCAAATGCCTTAGGCACTGCGCTACTAGGGCTCCTGTCCATGAAGATTACAGTCTAGGAAACCTGATGGGGTAGTTCTTCTCCATCACTATGGAGTCACCATGAGTCCCAACCAACTTGATGGCAGAGGGTTTGGTTTGAGCTTTGCTTCCGTGAAGATTACAGCCTAGGAAACCCGACAAGGCAGTTCTCCATCACCATCGGGTCAGAATTGGCTCAATGGCACAACATCTACAGAACATGTGGCACAGAGTCTACCACTTAGCAAACAATGAATAAATGGTTGTTGTTATTGTAAACAATGACAGTGAGATGCTCTTCACAATTCACTACTCCTCCACCACTCTTCGGAAAGAAATTCATTCTCTTATAATCGAGCTGGTAAATGAAAACGCAGATTCCCAAGGACATGCAGCAAAACGGAGTAATTCCTACTGCTCCAAATACATACCGCATGTGGTTCAGCACAAACCCCATCTGTATCCACTAACATATTTCTTAAAGACACACAAAGTCGCTGTGCCCCAGCATGAACCAGGCCTCCTCAGAGGGCCCTGGCCCTGCTCTCTTGCTGCAGGACAAGCCACCGCTCCCTCGAGATGGTGGACACACGTCCCACCCCCGCACGGCTCACAGCCTCTGAATCCGGAGCTGCTCCACCCACAGACGGCTCTGCTCCCCCACCTCTCTCTTCCCACACCACTGCCTGCCATGGGAAGTGCATTCATCCACAGGCACTCCCCGCCTAGTGCCTCCGTCTCCATCAGGTACGGGGCCACTTCTATCCCGCGCCCACCAGCGTCCCAGCTCTGGAGAGCCAACTGTGGCCAGCGCAGCCCCACCTGTGTGCAGGCGGATGTGCACTTTGAGGCTTCCTGAAGTGGAGAAGCTCTTCATGCAGTACTGGCACTGGAAGGCCTTGATGCCCGTGTGCGTCTTGATGTGGGCAGTCAGGGTGCTCTTCACAGCAAAGGCCCGGAAGCACTGCGGGCACTTGAAGGGCTTCTCGTGAGTGTGGATACGGATGTGGCGCACCAAGTCACTGGGCTTCTTAAACTCCTTGGTGCAGTATGGGCACACGTGCCACCGCACCCCATTTTCCTCACGGATCGAGCCTGGAGGGAGGCAGAACGAAGACAGGGTCAAGGTAACCTGCATCAGAGGCTAACATGAACCTTAAAGCAGACACAGTCCAGCCTGGACCAGCAGCTCTGTCGTGCCAAATACCAAGGCCCTTCACTGTCTGCACAGGCAGAGCGTGATCACAGGATGGACATTCTCTGCCACCCAGAAGACAATTACTCACAGAACAGCTGGTGGGCATCTCAACACTGGAATTATCGAAATAATGATTTAATCTCACACTAACTCCTAGAATCACCGGTAACTGGAAAATTTGGCCTTGGTGACAGAAATAATGCTGGAACTTGTATGGCAGAATTTTGCAAGACCAACGACTTGTTCATTGCAAACACCTTTTTTCAA